AAAAATAGCGGAGGGAATAAACTGTCGGACGGTGTTATATTCAATTCTGAATTTGCCAAGGAGAACTTCAGCAGTGTTACTTGCAGCTCTTCAATAACATTGGATCACAAGTGAAAAGCCTCATCACGCATAAATTACAAAGCTCCCGCAGTATTGTGGGCTTGAGGTCACTTAAAATTTTCGGCCACGGATACGTCGAAGTTCCCGGGAGCAGATTAGCATGGTTACCATGGTATGTTGGCATAGTACCAGCCACGGAGAGTCGACTGCTCGTCCGGAATTCAATAAGATTGTCAAAGCTGTCGTCTGTCGTCCGTCGAAGCTCGAAGCTTGGTTGCAGAGTTTATTATTCTTCGAGCGATTCGACAGCGATCGTTTCATCCAGCGCAACACTCTACCGTATGAACATGCTATACTCTTTCCTTCGGCTCTGTAAACCCGGCCTCCTTGGGATTCCGGGTCCCTCCCCTGGGATGGGATCAGACATCAGACGCAAGCCATCGACTCGTGAAACCTCCAATAAAGTTCTAGCGAGGAAGCCTCAAATGAAGTTCTAAGAGGATTGCCTCTAGGATTCTACCCTCCCCCGGAAGCTCTCTTGCTATTTCGGAAGAGAATTTCTAGACAGCTTAAGCACCAGATCGACTACAATAAAAGAGAGATTATGGATCAACTTTTACAACACGAGACATCATAAACGATGGCGTTCACCCATAACGCCCTGGAGAGCTATCCACGGAACGGTAGGGTTCGGGATCGGGGAGGTGGACGGAGAGATGGCGTGAGGGTGATGAGGAGAGATTCACGAGCTGACGACCTCGATGTCATCCTCACCCCCACCCCGATTATGACGATGAATGAGAGCTATCTATATCGAAGCTATGAATTAAATTCGGAAATGCACGCCATTTGCCGCGGAAACTCAGCCGAGCCTTGGAAATGAAATCGCGTATTGTTCACCTCTGCTGAGGGGAACTGACGCGACGAGCGCCGTTGGGGAGAAGAGAGCTTCCTTTGAAGCAAGTCCGACGGAGGTCGCTCGCGAATCCGATACATGGTGGAACAGAGATCGGAGAATTCAACGAGGTTGGATTCCGAGATCTCATAAATCATCAAATATCATTTTCCCCCCAGGGAAACCGTGGGAGTAGAATTCATCCTCGCGGGCTTTGTTGGGGATGAGTGAAGCAAGCACCTACAAGTTCATCTGACAAGAGCCCTCTGACGAGAGCTTTCCAAATCCCATCATGGTTTTCTGATCTTGAACTTCGGCAAGTCGAAGAATCCCTTGACCTTGTGCTCCCTAGTAGACTTGGGGGAAGCCAGGATCACAAGAAGTCTTGCTCCGCTCATAAGGAAGCGAATCCGAGTCCACTGTCTCATTCGTATTCCTCGCGACTCCCTCAATCTCGGCTCCTAGATACGTGGCTCCCGTCAGGACGGTTTGAATCGTGGCGGCTCTCCGCGGCAACTGTTTCTGGTTGGAACATCACACTCCTCCGACCACTGAATGGGGTCAGCTGATTCCCGCCGCCGACCGATACCCGCTCGCCTGAACCGAACATCCCACTTTCAACAAAAATGTTTAAGGAACCGGACGGAGTACAATCCTATAAATGATCGAGGAATGAAACTACAATTCAGAGTCGACCATAAACTCGAGGTGGACCGAGAAATTTCGCGACTCGAGAGACGACATCCGAGATGTTTGCTCAGTCAGATGATGAACAGTTCGACATCGAACGACAAAGTTTCTGTCCCGTGATGCGAGGAAGTATACGGAGGAATCCCTTCTTTGCACTCTGGAAATGCGCCATCGAAGACAGTCGGCTAAATCAAAGGTGATTCTTCCTCCTGGGAGGATGTTCTGGTACCTACAAGTACGGATGAAGTGCCGGTTCACTGCCGGATCGAGAGTATCCCAAAATCTTGCCGAAGTGCAAAGTTCACCGATAGCAGTTCGCGTCACTGTCAGTCACATCACTTGAATTATTAACGAGAGTAAATCACCGAAAAAAAATAAAACAGACACAGCCATCCAGGCACTCTTGCAGAACAGCAGGTAAAAGTCTCCTCCCACGGGCGAGAAGATGATCAGGTTGGTTTGGCTGTCTGGCGGCCACAACATAGAGCGGTGGACACACGAGCACTGGGCGCCGCCATCTTGAATATAGAGAGTAGCCCATAGATTACCTAACTCGGGTGGGTGGGGTTGAATTCGCGCTTGGCTACCATTAGTGCCTTAATACAGCCATCGAGACACGCACTTTCGTAGGGCGCTCTTTCGTTTCGGGCATCCGTTCCGGCTATCAAAGCGTAAAGCATCCCACGCAATTCCTCCAGAATCTCACACAAGGCTGTCGCATATAATGATCAGAGCGAGCGTATGAATACTCGATACCCGGGGCAGAATCCTTACCGCGGTCGGAATAAATTTCGAATAAGTTCAAGTTCCGTCAACTTCTCCTCTCTTCATGTGGCGAGCTCATGCAATCGCTTCTCAGAGTTCGAGGGGAAAAAGCTGATAGGAGGGAACATCACCGGATTCCCGCTCTCTGACATCGCGGGGAAAAAGCTGAGATCTTGCTGAGAACCGCTGCGGGCTTCGAACGGAAGCGCATCGAGAGATAAATGACATCAACTTCATCAAACCGTCTATGACTGCGACTATCGTCGCACTCACTGGTCTCCGTAGAAGATGAAGAAGGAACGGAGAAGGAGTTGTGTCCAGGGTCCAGGGGGAGGTTTATCAGGGGCGGAATGGAGGCAGCTCCATATCGCATCGAATTCTCGATCGCTTCGAAGCGACGGGATCCCTATGACACCTCCACGACAAGACTTCTGGCCTAGCCAGAAAATCTCAAATCTTTCCCGGCTCCCTCTCTTTCAGAACGCGTGAGCCGCGGGCTCGGGTGCTTCAGAAACATATTGAATCGTATGAATCATCTTCATATGAACCATATCTTGCTCGGGACTCCCCACCCGTGACGAGGCCGAATCTAGGGGGGTTAAGACGAGTTTGCCTCCGGATTCGACCGCACGCGAAGCGTCTCCTGCGGATGATTATGATTAACGTTGTTCGACTCCATCCGAAACCGCGGAGTAAGCGGAGCGATGCTCTCAAAGTCTGTCCAAAAGTGGTCGGGGACGCCAGAGCAGGTGATCGCTACAGACGCCGATTGAGAACTCCACAAAACTTCCAAGCTTCTTTGAGATTGGGAGCAATTCCTTGAAAGCCCATCGGAAGAGCAAACCCAGTCGATCCTTATCGGAACATGGCGCCTCCTGGCATATTACCCCGTTGGCTCTCCCCGTGTCGGATGCTGGGTACCTTAATCTCGTGCAACAGTGAGCAAGGCCCGCCTGTATGATGCCCGGGGCGGCCTCCTCGAATTCCGAGCCGGACCCCCTGTCCGGAAACTTTCTCAATCACCCCGTGAACTTCCCAAATCGAAAATAGGTTTCCAGGAGCAGATAGTGACAGTCGAATAACCGCCTCAAGCCGCTCGCTCCGTGGTGCAAGATGAGCCGACTTTTGCTTCGATGTATTGGTGATCCGGAGCGGCTACGGCATCGGTAATGTAGTCCTACTTCCTGGGGGCAGGGACGGTTCCAACACGATATAGAGAGGGAACTCCGCTGTGACCAAGAGTGATACGTCGTCTTCCTCTACGTGATGCTCTCTTGGTACTCGTCAGCTCATACCCGGGAGACGGTCTCCGATCCCGGAATCTCCGAATTGTTCAGGTCCGAACGTTCCTGAAGAATCTCTTGCTTCTGGTCGCAAGGTATCGGGGAAGGACGACTGAGATATTTGAACTGTGCGCTCATTGGAGAGAGGAAGCTGCAAACAAAATAAGGGCCGACTATCGGTCGTAGCGCGCGAACTTTTGAATCTCACTCACGAGGCGTAAATCACAGATATCGGCTTGGTATTCTGCAGAAAAACCTCATGAATCGTCCTCTTGATCAGCGTGCACAACTTACCGCGAGCTTGAAGCTCTCCACGATGAGTTTTCGGAGCTGTCGTCGCGAAGCTCCTTTGGACTTCGAGCGCGGTAGCAGACGTCATCTCGATAATCGTAATTTATTCGGATTCCATCGGATTAGGCAAGACCGGGTGATGAAACATCGAGTGTAAGATCCACGATTTCGACTTAGCTCGAGGTGTGTTGGCAAACTGTGAATATTCGTGATCGCATTTGCCGAGGACGATTCTCGTCTGGAGAGCTCCCTCCCAGTCACTCCTTGTTTTGATGGGCGAACGATGTCGTTCTTACAGGCAAGTGGAAAATGAGTTTTCTCCGTTTCTTAGATCATCCTGGACTCCCAATCGCGATTTTTTCGTCCCTAGAGAGTACTTACTCATGATTAGGACCGATAAGGTTTCCCGCGAGGGGAGATCGAAGCTTTCGAATCCGGTCTCCTGCATTACCCACTTTGACAGCTGAACTCTGTTCAGAGAAGCTAGATCCGATCTCACTGGGGACAAGCGCATGAAACTTCGGTTTTTGCGCCTGGGAGTTCTAACTCAAACTATTGTCTTCGATTCCGCCGGGACTGCATGAATCATTGATTGATTGGCCTTTCCATTTGAACTGGAAACAATTTATATTCGCCAACGATGTTGGACCGTTCCGAGAAGCGCCTGCAGAGATCTGTCATATGGCTCTGTAGGTACGAACAGAATCTCATTTCGATGTCCTAATCGGGATTCGTTCTCGTATTTCTTTTCTTAGGATTATACAATGCATGAGCGGGTGAGTAGAACAGAAACACTATGACCTCGAATGCAGCACGGAGCTCCAATTACGAGGCTGAGGGGGTGTGCGTTCGATGAGGTATTCTCTCCTTGAGAGGCGCATGACTGGGAGAATGCCTATTCGAGCCAGGGTCATTTGATCTGTTGATTCCGGGGCTTGTCGCTTGCTGAACGGCGACCGGCGACGCTTTTCTTCCTTCAGATTTTTCGGGATAATGAGCAGTATCCAAATGTGCTATTAAACTTTCAGTGGAGGCGCTATGCGTTTTTCGACATCAAGCTCGTCAAAGACAACCTCGAGCAAGAGTTTACTTACCTTAAGGTTGGTTTGTGCAATTGATTCCGTCGATCTCTCGTGGTAACATACGAATGACTGTGAAGAGTCTCCCGGCCTCAGACTGCGATGATGATTCCATCAATATACGAGAATTTTCCGTTCCTTTCAGGACGTGAATGTAACATGTGCCACCAGCGGAAGATCTCTACTCGTTTTCGGCGATTCGAGTGGTGTGATTCACACCGTGACTCGAGAATTATCCGCGTCTTCATTCCAAGGTAAATGATCGACCCTCGTATCACAAACGGCCCAAACTCGATTGATGGTCAACCCAGTAGTACCGCTCTTGAACCGATGATTCCAGCTTTCAAAGTATGCGTAGAGCATGTTCAACAAATGCGAGAGAATCCTATCCTGGTGGCTGTGGGCTCCGACGAGGCTGGTATCAACCCAGTTATCAAGGTGAGTCCGTAAGGATCATTCGTCCAGCAAGTCGGAGTTCGAAGTGCGGGAAAAAATGGCCACCGTCGGAGTAGAGTGAAGAATGCTAACACCGCTCACAATTCGAAATCCAGGTCTGGAAGCAGGACAAATTGGACATGCAAGGCGAGCCATTCTGCGTCAAAAGCATGCGAGCCATCATCGGAAACAAACCAGCATCGGTCTGTTACTTGAAAAGGATCATGATTTCCGCTTTTTGAGGCTTCTGACATGAAATGCTTCTGATCACTGTCGAATTTTCTCCACAGGTATCGGCCTTCCGGGTGAACGATAGCATGAACATGATGGCGGTGGGATTCGACGATGGTCGCTTGCTCCTCGTCAAGGGAGATATCTCGCGAACGACTGCAAAACAATCCAAGCATATCCATCTAACGCCTTCCGCGACGATTTCTGCACCGATAACAGGTAAGTCCCATCGAGTGACCCGAGCACTTCGCTCTTCCTAGGAGCCTCGAATCCTCGATTCACAACTGAGATCGATCGTACTCGCTCTCCAGACTGAGCTGAAACGTCAAGGGTATGGGATACCTCATGAACCTTCATTTTTCGTGACTATCCGTAGGCATCGAGTTCCAAGGAAGCAGTCATATATTCGTGGTCACCACAGTATCAGTGTACTCCGTGCCTCTGAACACTCGGGGTTTGGATCCCGTCATGCAAAATCTGGACAATGAGCGCGGCTGCAAACCCGGCTGCAGCGCCATCACGGAGGCACGACGGGACTTGAAGGAGGTCCAGCTGATCATAGGTAAATATTGGAGGATCGGAAGCCCATTAATCCCCCTCTCGCCTTCGTACTTAATTAACATCTGTTTCTTCGTGATCATGCAGGTTGTAGAGACGCGCTGTATTTGTATCAGCACGACGGAATCGGGCCTTGTTTAGCGTTCGACGCCGAGAAAGAGTTGGTCAGTTGGTTCCGCAACTATCTGGTGTGCGTGATTCGAGACAACGATAAGACCATCCTGAACATTTACGACATAAACAACAAATACGTTGCGTACTCGACACCCCTTATCGGCATCAGTCACATACTGCCCTCATGGGGAGGGAGTGAGCTGGTGATCGTTACGAAGCAAGGCAAGATCTTTTCGCTCACTGAAAAGGCGACGGAAGACCGACTCGGAGTCCTCTTCCGGAAAAACCAGTATGAGCTAGCCGTCAAGCTGGCCAACTCGAACAACTACGATGGCATCGTCGACATTTTCCGGCAGTACGGGGACCATCTATACGCGTAGGTTCCATGGAATTTCCCAAGGCGGACCAATGAATGAGGTCGCAAACATTACGTTCTTTTCCATCCCTCCTCGTCGATTCGGGTTCTATCTGCGGCTTGCCGTAAATTCTGTTTTCGTATGTTCTCAGGAAAGGCGAGCATGACCTCGCCGTTGCTCAATACATCAAGACCATTGGAAAACTCGAAGAATCCTATGTGATAAGAAAACTGCTCGACGCACAGAAAATCAAGCAACTCACTGATTACTTGCAAGAACTGCACAAGCAAGGCCTCGCTAAGGAAGATCACACAACTCTACTTATCAATTGTTACACAAATATCAACAAGGTCGACACCCTGAGCAAATTCATCCAGGTGAGCGGCAATTCCGGTCTCCCGACTTCCGAGCTCTGAGGCAGTCTATGCGAAATTCCCGAATCTCATCTTGAGAGCTAGAGACAGCGCGGCCGAAGAGAAAGTGACGCGTTCCCCGGGGGTGCTCTTGACGGGGTCCAAAACGCGCTGAGCTCCCTTCTATCCTTTCAGAATGTGGACCTTCAATTCGATGCAGAGATTGCCATAAAAGTTTGCCGCAGCAGCGAACTATACCACGAAGCCTTACTACTCGCCGAGAAACACAAGAAAAACGACTACTATCTGAAAATCCAGATAGAAGACATGAAGAACTTCACTAATGCGATACGCTACATCGAGAGACTGCCCTTCAAAGAGGCCGAGGAGAACCTCGAGAAGTATGGAAAAGTTCTCATGGACAATAACCCGGAGCAGACCACCAACCTGCTCTGCCGGCTCTGCACGAATTACGAGGGCCGAAAGTCGCGAGCCGAGAAGTTCATCCACATTTTTGTCAACAACCCGAAGCTTCTCAAAAACTTCCTCCAACAAATTATGTCCGAGATCGGGGAGAAAATCAAGCTCTCGCCAATAATATACAACACCCTCCTTGAATTGGAGTTGCAAGAGTACCGGCTAGAAAGTCAACCGTCGAAGAAAGCCTCCAAAGAAACCGAAATCATGTGCTTCCTCCGAGAGAAGAAAAACTGCTACGATACTGATCTAGCTCTTGGTTTGTGTCAAATCAATAATTTCAAGCAGGGAATCCTTCACTTGTACGAGAAAGCCGAGCTATACCATCAGATCCTCTCGTTCTACACGGAAAAACAAGCCTACAACAGCATTATCGACGTGTGTACGCGTTTCGGAAACGATGATCCGTCACTCTGGCGTCACGCTCTTCTCATCTTCGCTCATGCAGGAGAGCACTCGAACACTAATCATTACTTCATGTTGGTTTTGGATCATATTGAAAAACACTCTTTGCTGCCGGCCATAATGGTTGTCTCGATAGCGGCCCAGTCGAAAACCGCAACGCTCTCCCTCGTCAAGGAGTTCCTCGTGAGGCATCTCTCTGGCGAGGGCGAGAAGATCCGCAATTGCGAGCAAGCGATCAAACAATATAAAAAAGAAACCGAGGCCCTTCGGACACAGATGGACGAAGTTAAGCACAAAGCGAGGGTTTTCCAGGAGAGCAAATGTTCCGGATGCAAAATCGAACTCGAGCTGCCGAGCGTTCATTTCCTCTGCGGTCACTCGTTCCACGTGAACTGTTTCGAGAATTTCTCCGACAGCAGTGGATGTCCGTCATGTGCCCCCGAAAATAACCGAGTCGCCGAGAAGCAACGTCAGATGGAAGAAGCCATGGAAACGCTGAACGAGGACTTTGCCAAAATGTTTAACGATACGGACGACGTACTCGGGACCGTCGCTGACTTTTTATCAAGAGGAGTTTTCAAAACTGTCGACCCATTGACTGAGGCGACCTTGAACGAGGATAGCACCGAATTCTCCTTAGCTCGGATCCCGGCGGCGAAGCCGAAGAGTTTGTTTGAGAGACCCACTTTCCCGTGTCGTGTCGTTCCCGAGGAACCCGCAGCGAGAAAATCTGTTTTTGATAAACCCGATCCATTCCGCAAGCCAGTACCTAGTCAAGCCAAAGTCAGTCCCGCTCCGAAGAGGAAACCGGCTCTGGAAAGCATCAATCCAAAACCTCAAGAAGAAACGAATATTCCGTTCCGGCTCTCGGGGGAAGAGGGGTCTGATGTGCAGTCCTTCGCCGACAACAACCCCTTCCAAGAGAGCCTTGAGACAGCGAATATCACACGAAGAGAAGTGAAAACTTCTCCTCCGAGGACGGCATCTGAAAGTAAACCTGCGACAGTTCCGACCTCGTCGAATCCTTTCGATGGCGACGTAACGAATCCATTCGGTTCCGAAAGTGCCTATTACTCCGAACAATCCGATAATCCTTTCCCGACCGACGCCGCGAAGACTAGGTAATTGAAATCACGATTTTAAGATGTGACCTGATTCTCGAACGACGAACTCTCACCGTGGAGCTTTTCGCCGACAAGGGGAGCTCCAGGATGGGGCATTCCCCGGCCGTAGCACTCTCTTAGCCGGCCCAATGAAAGGCTAGGATGGAATCAAGTTCGGAATAGTGAATCTTATCGCAGGACAGTCTGGCGGTTGTTCGATTCCCTCAGAATTGCGTCTTTATTTATAGAGTCCGACGCCCCTTCGAAGAATTCCGTGTCACTGATGATCTGAAATCACGTGATTGAGATTAAAGGAAGCTGGTGTTCGAATCATGATCTTTTATTTTCACGATGATGCAATTCAGTAAGCAATGACGGTGGCTCGAAGTCGAATGGAGAAGGGGCTCAATCAAATCTGGTTACACACTAAACTAGGTATAGAACCGAGATCTCCTCCTGTTCCAAAAAATGTCGTTCAGTTTGCTGTCCTGCTCCGCTCCCAGCAATCGCAGCGGAGGGATATCGAAGACAGTCAGGGACCCCGATCGAGCCGAAAACTGACAGACTTATGAATTCTGGGCCCTCGGACCATCGTGTGGGAAAATCGAAGATACCTAGTTGAGGGTTGAGCTCGGGGCTCGCCGGTTCATGGCGGACCATCTGATCACTCATCATCATCGATTCATTCTCTCCAGTTATGTCCCTTCACAATTAAGTTTTACCTCGCGATCTGGATACCTTCATCAGATGCCCTAATATATGGGACAGTGAATTCCGCAATGAAGTATGTTTGATTGACGGACCAGATTTTCATTATGAGCGATCACTTTCATGGCTGGAGAACTCGAGCATGATTCCTCACGAGTCCCGAATAGAGAGAGGGTCTCTTCATAATGACCGGTAGCGTACTATTCACCTTGATCCGGTGGGGGAACCCTTGCGATCTCGGAGATGTCAGCGTCGCGTATCATGGTCTCCTCTCCTGTCCCGAATATTTGAGATCGAGGAGGGTTGCTCACCACACAATCATTTCTTCATATGTCCGTGACCTCCCACCAAGACTGCTCAGTGCGCGGAAGATAGGGAGCGTTTCGGACAGACTGAGGCTCGCTGTGTTCTCTTTGAGCGGATTCCGACGACGCTGCAATAGGATTTTCTCGCTGGCACTTTTTTGTGTGCTAATCACAAAGCGAGCATCGAACGTAGATGACGGGGAGGTGGAGATGAGAGGAAGAAGTCACACGCGAAACCTCAATTCAGCCCTTTGTGATTTCCTGAGCGATCGAAGTCTCTATCATTAGGGTTTTTCTTTCTGTGACGATGGACGAGAGCGATTGTGGGAGTCGAGGCAGTACCGCTATGCCGTCGCCCGAGGGTCATCGCTCGATTGAAAGACAAATTGTGAAAATCCGCCAAACATAACCCAGATAAGACACGCTACCAACGCAAGAAGCGACAGATCGTAGTTTATCGGAACTGTAGATTGTGAATTGGTCACACCAAGAGATGTCTCGATATGGGATTATTGAACCTCCAGCGGGGAAGCGCTCCGTGTCAAAGGGTTACGACATGAAGTCTCCGTGAGAAGAGCTCCCGAAACACGCTGATGGAATAAATGATCGAGGCGGTGAGTTTGTGTCCTGTGGTTTCTTGGGAATTGCCCTTCAGAAGGATCTGATGCATCAGAAAATTCCAACGTGAGCGAGAATTTCTTTGGTTTCCCAAATCCAAAACTCCGCGACTCGCGAAACTTCGTTCGAGACACTTTCGAGATTCGAAACATCAGATGCCGACAGGAGATGAGGGAGACTCACAAGTCAGGTTTGCGATGCGTCCGCTGCATCGGGAGCTAATTCGCCGACGCGCGTCGCAGTTGCTCGGGCCCGCGCCCGCTTGCTCCAGAATCTCGCTCACAGAATAGATTTCTTCGAGGTTGGCGGGGGCGTCGAGGAGACATAGCTTGGCAGTTCATCGCTCTCTATATCAGCAGTCTCCTGCGGACCCGCAAGATTCTATACCAGACGATGTTATAGCAACAACAGTGATATTAGCGCTTGAGACGCGCCAATCTTGACCAGCTCCGGTCGGCGTCGTAGACCGTGAACGCCGCGACCCATCTTTGGACCGGTTCCTTTGTAGCGAGAGGTCACTTTCCAAAAGCTTTCTCTGGCTTCTCCTCCAGTTAAACAGGTCCCGTGTTCTTTTTCGGAATGATCGTCCTTATCCGTGCGATAACTTGGCAACGGAAGCGCCTCAGAGCGGAGTCGTTGACAAAACGCGAAAAGTCTCCGCGCAAACATTTCTTCGTTCTGGGTCCCGGCCCTGGCAAGGAAATTCGGGGAATAATCCTACACGTCCCGAGGAATCCAGAGTTGCTCTGTGCTGAAATCCCCCATCGGTTGAGGAGCCTGACGATATTACGATGCGTTCGGAAATTCTTCATCTAGAGGGGCGAAGTCTCCTATTGATCCTGTTGATATCGCTTCGTGAGAGCTTGCCCCTCGCAATCAGCTAGTGTGGAAAATGCCGGTGGGGTCGAGAATGAAACTCCCGAAGGGAGGGGCGGTGTCGAATAGAATGGGATCAGAATCAATACTGAGGAAGTCCCATCCCCACTCGACGATAGCTTCCCGATCGCTATATGAGTAAGGGTCCGTTTATATTATGATGTTCTCCTATGACTGCTCGCAAAAACTCAGAATCGGATGCCTTCGAGAATGTCTATCGGGTCCCGCAAGAAATTCGGGACCAATGTCGACTGACAGCGAAAGTTCACAGGGCATTGACCTCTCATTCGGATAATCGCCTCCGTTTTAACTTTGTGTATCCAGAAAAGTTGGAAAGTGGCCGCGTAGCTGAGTGGATTCCAGCGCGTTTCGATGAAAAAGAGAGCGATCGCTCCAGCGGCGGAAGATCGAAGCATTTAACGAGTGATCGAGCAAGAATATTTCTCGTAGACGTTTTAATGATGCGAGCCACGACACAACGGGACTTTTCCAGGCGCATCGTTCGCCGCCGAATTGAAGACGCGCCGCTCGGGCGGAATGACGGATGCGAAGTGACCTGACGATCATCACGCGATAACGTCCGCCAAATCGCCGGCGAGCCAGCTGCTTCGCGAATTTCATTTCTCCAATTACCACTGTTCTGCTCTGAGCAGCAGTGGATTCGACATCAATTTCGAATGCGTACGTGATCGCGTGAAAACGGCGTCCATACGAGGATCGGAAACCAGCCAATGTCTGGACCCTCCGCCAGGCCTCATGGTCGACCGAGGACTCCAATGTTTCTTTGAGTCGCATAGAGTCGACTCATCGACAGGTCGCCCCGCCACCAGCCATCGGATCCCACCAGAGCTGTGGAAGTTTCGGTTGGGGATGGACGACTGTACTTCATGATGCCGGTGTTCTTCATCCTGCTGAGCGAATCAAATCGAACCGAGCTTCATTTTCTGTGCCAGCAGGGCTACACAGAGCTGTGCTTTTCGACAGACCCTTGGCTAGTGCTGATGGCGATGAGGTTGTTGTGGTCGTCGGTGTCGGTCTTTGGAGTTTTTTTCTCTGTTCCTACACGGGGAGGCCTCCCGAACTTTTCCTCGAGAAACTATTCAGTATGCGGCGACTTCCCCTCCTCATTATTATCACACAGCTCATCGAGGACCGATAACTACATATGCAGCGGATGCTGAACATGAACCGACAAATTTCGCGGATTCAACGGCAGAGATGCTTCATGGCTTGCGTGCGCGGACCTCTGCCGAGCGCATAGAATGTACCTATATCTTGTATCAGTGATATTCCGAGTGTTGGCACGGTCGCGAAGTGATCCCTGGAGCCGATCACGATCGCCACCCGAGTGATTCTCTTGAAAACCTTCTGAATTCTCCTCTTCGTGGAGTTTTCACACGACGAGAGCTGCTCCTTTGAGGTATTTTCGATCAAACAGGAAACCGTATTGGAATTCAGGAATTTAATCGGAGATCTTCGAAAAAATCCGTGTCGGCTTACCTAATCAGATAACAGTTACGAAAGATGTCACCTTTCTCTGCAGAGAGCCGTTTCATTTCTTTTCACGTCTCCTCACTCCTCACCTCGCTTACTTTTCCGACCCACAGAGCTTTTCAGCCTTTGGCCGCATTCTCGAAGCACGCTCTCTCTTTTTCCGCAACTTATCTCTCGGAATTCTCTTTATCGCTCGGCGGCGTTTTTTATTTTCCTTCGCTACAAATCGAATTGAATGATAAATCGCCGACATCATGGAGCCGCGTTGACCCACGATGTGTAAGCGATGGTTAGAAAGCCATTTGTCGCTTATCGTGGTGGTGAGCTTTATCAGTTCAAGGTTTCTGGTTTGTATAGCCATAGCTTGTTGAATATCCAGCCAGTCAACTCGGCTCATCGACTGTCTGGTTGACTGGACAGACGGACGACAGAAGAATTCTTCCCTTTGGCCTGGATTCCGTTCGACTCGATGCGGTCGCATCTTTATGTTGCGTGGCGCCTCGTACCTGCCCGTTTTCGAATCTTCGAGCAAAATCGCATGGGATCCACTTCGATTGCGTGTCTCAGGACAATCTAGGACTTTCCTCCTCCTGTCAAAACAAAGAATGGAGAAGGCATAGGGGGAAGCAGAGAATTCGGTATGGGGTATAAAAGAATTCTTTCGGTCGAACCGTTGAAATGTCTACTCGTCACAACGGACGTCAATCCATCCACATTCATGATTCCTGCTGCTGTTTCGGTATCGCGAGCGGCCCCGATTCCACCGTCTTCTACATCGATTTCCTCTTTCTGTGTGGAGGTTAGCTTCGCGACGTCGTCTGCGCCGTTGTCGATTTCAAGCGGTCGCTTCACACTTTTCATTTCCTACTTGTCCATCGTCGCTTGATGATACGTTCTGCATGTTTTCTAAGCTCATCCACCGCCCTGTTCGGGAGAGCAGCAGACTTCCGCAAGCTTCCGAGCTTCCAGAATCGATGATCCAGAAGCTCGAACCAATGAAGTGCTGCTGATCGCACGATCAACGCGGAACTCCTGCACGAATCAGCGTTCGTCCGCACCAGTTCGGGCTTCCTCGAAATGATTGCACCGCATGCTCCGGAGGCTCAATTCCTCGATCATCATGGGTTTCCCATTTCCCCGAAAAGGTTCTATAATCAGGTTCAGAAAGCCCGCTATCCTGCCGTACACGGTGCACGTTCTATTCGAGACTCCCAGACGAGATCGTGGATTCGATCCCGATACTCGGTTTCTGCTTCCGCGCATCCGTCACGACGGTAGCCCGACTCACGTTTGACCGATTACTTTGCATAATCGACTGAAAATGACAAGATCAGATAAGGTCAAAGAGGAAATTTGTCGCGTGAGAATTACTTCTTCTCGTCAAAACAACTGATAGAGTTACTGAGCATAGCTAGAAAAATGACGTCCCACAGAGTTTCTCATCCAGGAAGCGGGCCCGAATATTTTATTTTGAGTGCAGGAAGGGAGTTAATGCCCTCCTGAGAGGAGGGAGCGAACAAAAAACCAGAGCGGGAAATTCGAGATCGATCCAATGGTACTTGGAACTGGCTCGAGCAAGAGGCTCGGAGCGTTTTCCGGGGCATCGGGCTGCGAGCAAAGGTCAGTGGCAGGACATATCATTTGCAAGCCAAGCGGCGCGCTCCTCATTCCACAATCGCCGTGGAAGCAGAGGCGAGGAATGCGAATGGAAAAAGAAACCAACAGAAATGATATAATGACTATTAACGGCCATAAGACCTGGTCTGTCGGAGCGTTTCGCGTTTGCGAATCTATCCAAAGAAGAGCACAAGCTACCATCACCTGCATATTCTCACATAATAGTGATTTAGAGGTTGCCTCTGCACAAATTGTGTCTAGTCGGAGCAGAAAATTATCGTTATACTCCCAGAATGTTCTTCGGAAGAAACGGTACTCGGAATACCCCGGGAATTCTCCGGCGTAACCAGACGCCCGCATATCTCACTAGACATCGTTTATTCCAACGCCTATTATCTGGAAGCAAACGCGCCGGCGGGATCTGCAGACGGAATGTAGATTCGTTTCCTTGAATTACATCCGATTCGCAGCTCCGAGGGAACGAAAATCAGAAGCAAAAATCAGCCGCGGACCCGCCAGATTGTCGAGCACGTTTCGAGTCTCATACGTTCGCTTGTGTATTTCGATACGAATCTCTTTCGTATAGCTCAATCATTTCTGGCCCGACTCTCTGCATCTGGAGGCGAAACTCGGATCTGGGACCAATCCTTTCGAATCGAACGAAAGGCAGTCGGGGCAGGATGGCCGCGAGAAGTCATTAACTCTGGCCAAAGTGTCCCTTCTGAAGCGATTGCACATAAAATGACTTGCCTAGCATGCTTCTTAGCCCGGAGCCTACGGAGTCGCTGACCTCTGAACGATTTCACCATTTGAGTCGTACTGAAGTCTTTTTCCCGTTTCCACCGGTTAGCGTTCCCCGCGATGTTGTCCGCGGAGCTCCTTGTTCTACCATGAGCATAGTGCTCGGCGATTCGCATATCGGCAGTAAAACCATTAAAAATGTCGTTGGCTCTGGACACCGCGATTCGTAGAACTCGCGAAGGAACCAGAGGGGGTCCAGCTCCGGTGTCGAATCCGACGCCTCAGCACACGAATCATACCCACACGGTATTTCATTTGTTTCCTTAGTGCTTGACAAATCTTTCAGGCGATCTGGGACCATCATACCGTCGAATGCGATCAGCTGAACGTATTACGGATCGATGTGCGTCGGATGGTCTCAACGAGCTCTCGGCAAATCCTTCGAGCTCAGTCTCGTGCGTGGAAACGAAATTACGGTGTTCCGTTGACGGAGCGACTTCTCTTCTCAGTGAGCTACGATCGCTATGCTTCATTCGACCAGCATTCTTCTCGCGGGTACGAAACGCCCTCCGACTGACCTGTGGACAGGGATCTGTAGACCACGTTGGGCTGCCCGAAAATGTGGCGACGTGAAGCCTTTTGTTGACTCCAACGTACGGTGCGGTGTCGTCTCTTCTTCTGAAAGCGTGAGCGTAGAAAGTACAATACCTCTCAGTCAGAAGACCGCGGTATGGCGAATGATCTGCATTGTCAATGGGCGAGACTCCTATACATCGATTTCTTCAGCTTCGCTCACGCTCATTTGAGGATCGGTCCTCTTTCCAGCAGGACCTGGTCATGAGGAATCATCGCGAGTCTGAGACAGAAACGCGAACTAATTCGATTCAGTTGCGGTCCATCTCTGGAAGGAGCAGCAAGAGTGATAATCGGGAATGGATATCCCATCGATATGAAATGGCTCGGGAAGAAAAGTCACTGGTATTCAGCTCGACCCTAACACTCCTGACACGGATGAGCTGCACAGGCGAAGCTCGAATGACTTCGTGCGATTTCTGTGGCAACTCGCAAACCGGTAACTCTTAGTTACTGTGACTGCTTTTGTTGATGTCGCCGCTGCCACCGTGAGCGCGCTCTTTTGCTGAAGACGGGTGGTTTTCGATATTATCCTTTTTTTCTGGGCAGTCACTTCGACGTCCGACGTCCATCGTCCGAAGTCGGTGCGTCCTGACTGACGAAAGCAGTGTTCCCATTTCTCCGGTCCTCATCATCATCACCTCTATGTCTTCTGCTTCGCGCTGCCGCGACAACGGTTCCCTCTCTGAAAGCGTCTTTTTCTCCAGCGACTACGACTCTTTCCCTCTTCGGGTTCCCGAGAGCTCAGCCGCTTAAAAAGCCGACCGGAGCTCCAGAAGAGCATAGCAGAATTTCCCCTGCTCTGTGCACCAGCATTCAATTCAATCGAAGGTAAGGAAAAGCAGTTACCCTCGTCCAAGTGTGTGCTCTCACTACTCTGTGTGTTCGCTCGTCACCACCTGCTGCCCCTCCTCACTACTCCGTCAGACCGGCTCGACATCTGCGTGTCGCTTTTTGAACTCTCACTTTGCTTTTACCAAGCGTCAAGCATCTGCCTTCTCTCGTTCGCCCCTGCCCGGCACCTGCTTAACACCTGTTCCGCTCTGGCTCGGAAGTCGTTCAACACCTGCAATGTTACTTGTGCACTAAATTTTGGACTTCCCTCGTCAGTCCTCGTCTGGATATGCGACAAGCCTCGGACTCAGCGGCTCGTTTCGAAATCGTGCCCGTCGTGTTTTAGCTGTTGTGCTTCTTTCTCTCTATGTTTAATTAAGTCATTGCTCTCGATTTTCCCGATTCGGATGAGACAACTCCCCCTTCATCTTTCCAGATGAAGGTTCTCGTCATCGCCGCTCTGTGCGCCGTTGTACTGGCCGCCCCCCAGCACCGACCCCGGCCCGACTACGATCGGAGACCAGACTACGACCGCAGACCCGCAAATCAGATTGGTGCTGGTGTCGACTGTAGGTACAGATGTACCCTCCAAGTCTGTGATACCCAGAACTGCACGTACAAGTGCCGACGACCCACCGCTTGTGAACAGAACCCCGTCAAGGCTATTCAATACGCTGCTGGACTCGACAGCGATGCCGTTGCCGGAGCTGCCGCTCCCGCTGTTGCCCCGGTGCCCGCCGATGCCGCTCTGATCGCCGCCAAGGATCCCAAGCCGGCAGCTGTTGAGATTCCGACCGCTCCCGCTGATGCTCCCGAACCCGTAGCCCCCATGGCTCAGGCCGCTCCTGTTGTTTCCGCAGCGGTCGCCTCCGAGCCCGTGGCTCCCATCGAGGTTCCCGCAATCGTCCCCGTTGAGGTCCCCTCTGTTGCCGAGGTGTCCAAGATCGAGGAGACAGTCGCTCCTGAGCCCCTGGCAGCTGCCTCCCTCGTCGCCGAGAAGCCCGCTGTGATCGAAGTTGTTCCCGCTGCCGTTCCCGCCATGCCCGCCGTCGTTGCCCCCCAGCCTATCGCTGTTGCTCCCGTTGTCGACGCTCTCCATGCAGCCGTCAGCTACCAGCAGCCGATCGCGGTCCCCGCTCCCCAGCAGGTCCACAAGGTCACCGAAGAGGCTCAGGTGGCCAAGAAGGAGGAGAAGATCCCCGCCAAGGAGGCTCCAGTTCAATCTGCCGCCGTCGAGGCTCCCCAGCAGGTCAAGGTGAAGGTCGACGCTCCCGTGAAACCCATCGTGCACTCGGTTGGGAAGGACGCCGTTGAACCGGTCGCCCAGAAGCCTATTGTCCCTCAGAAGGAAGCCGTTGAGAAGAAGGAGCAGATCAAGAAGGAGGTCCCCGTCGTGGCTCCGATCGTCAAGGAGGCGCAGGTCCCCAAAGTCGCTCCCGCCGCCGCTCCCGTCGCTGCCCCGATGGTGAAGGACGTCCCGACCCCTGTCAAGGTATTAAAGCTCGAATTTGAAGGATCCGACTCGATAATGAATGGATCTCTAGTAGATTTGAATCTCGATGCCGAGTTCTGATGGAACTGTTCGAAATTGCAGGCTGCCGTAGAGCAGGTCGCCAAGAAGCCGCAAGTCATCGCTGAGACCGTCGCCCCAATCGCTCAGGAGAAACCCCAGCAACAAGCCACCGTTGCCCAGCCTGCCCAACAAACGCAGCAACAGCAAGTAGCTGAGGCCCCAAAACCTATGGGAGTTTAGATTATCCCCAAAGTCCCTCGGGAGGAACAGTCATGGGAAATCGGGGACGAAAATTTGGTGTATGGGAGACAAGGAACACACGACTCGACGTGAAAAGCGCATGATGAAGGAACGCCATCGCTATCGGAATCTTGATCAATGCGCACATCTTATAGTCGATGAAACTTTCAATCGTCACATATTCGGCTTCCGGGGGGCGAGGCTCCCAAGGAAGAGAGCCCGCTGTCTTCGAGAGAATCAGATCTTCTTCCCGGCGCCGGCAAATGCCGCGTCAGATGCCAGAGATTGTGATAGGGTAAGATCGTCGACTCTTCTCGAAGATTGATGGTTCTCTGGCAAAGCCTTCCCCCTAGGAATCAGCTCGGAAATTTCCCGCTCCATCCGCCGCGGGCTGAGTCGATGTGTGAGTTCTTCTTCTTGCAGCTCGAACCACGAAAGGGAAAAATCTTGATTTATTTAGAGTAGTAGAGAAGTAATTTATACAGAGATGAGTGAAGAAACGTAGGGAGAGAAAAGTCCGCGTGAAGAGAACGATGTAATTTATCCGAGATGAATGTCTCGAGAAGACGTACTGAAATGGTGGTGAATAAAACTTATTTATTCGGCTTTGGACTCAAGGCCACAATGCATTCAAAAACTCGATCTTCCATTAGGGTAATTTTGATCATGAGAGAACGACTAACACTTGATCACGGCGTCCGATTCCCTTTGCGTATTCGAGTATTCAATCCCGGAGCGCGCCTGCTCTCATTCCGAGCGAAAGCCAGAACGATTGCATTCGTCGATCTCTTTCAGGGATGCAGGATTTTCCAATATCCCGGGTCCGAAATGGCGTCGTATCTGACGTCTTTTTATGAGAATCTTGATATCTCGGGTTGAGCTCCGAACCTTCCCGTGCATTCGCTCGATGAATGTCTCGACTTTCCGGAGAGCGGCATCGCCATTTCCAGCGATCAGACAATTTCGGAGAAAACATCTGGAAATCCGTGCTTCTCGAAACGGTCTCTAGGTCGAGGATTGTCGATCATGTAGCAGACGCCGTGACCTCTTTGGAAGCCCAACGCGAACCCAAGATAGCTGAACAGGTGGAGTGCCGCATCAGAGACGGGTGTCGAGGAGGGCCTCAAGTTCAAATGTCATCCTCATCGATGCGTACTCGATTTGAGATCATGATGAGCACACAATCCTGCGGGATTCGCTGCCCGACTTCAACAATAAGTAGATGTAGTACATGTCGGGAGTCAACCCATGGAGCACCCATTGGCAACCAGGCATATCTTTCTCAGGATCAGCGAAATATTTCCTGCAAGAGATCTGACTGATGGAAGCGCAGTCACGGATGATGTGACACTTGATCATACAAGTTGTAGCCGAGCCGGAAATCGATTCAATTTCGAGGGTGTTTCGCTCGGCGCCGCTCCTCCCCCTCGTGACCACTCTAAGAAGATAATACATCAGGTGTTCGATACTTGCGCCTCGTGGTAGGAATCGAATTCCAGCGGAACAACTTCAAAGGGGACTGTTAGGCGAAGAATGGGCTGGCCCAGTGAGGACTTGGAGCTGTCACTCAAATTCAGACACTAACAATGAACGGAACTGGACAGCTTTTAAGCGTATTGGAGGAAAGGCAACAAAACATGGAAAAAGTCCCCCGAGCGATGCGACGCTGCGCCGTAACTCCGCAAATCCGTCACCAGAGAGCGGTATACACAGGATGACGCTCGAATGCTCCAATCTCAGACTGAGTGACGGGCATCCAGATACGCCTGTGGCTATTCACGTGATCATGCATTCACCCCCACGGTCATGATCACAGTAATGGAATTCGGCGATGAGGTATTTCATTGTGACATATCTTTGCTGAAGACTGGTCGTAGGGATTCAGTTGAATCTGTGCTGCGAACTCTCGGATCGGTCCAGCGACTTATCGAGAGCTGAATCCGCATTCCCAATCTATCGGAATCCATTGATTTTTTTTCTTTGCCATGAAAGGATGCAATCAAATCAATCCATTGATTGATTCCAGCTCCGGAATATCGGACGCTCCGCGCAATCGCAGCGAAAGAGCCTTTCCCCTACATGTCTGAGTCAGCGAAGTTTACAGTATCAGAAGTCTGATGGGAGATCTGGGGTCTGCGATCAATGGTCAGTACAGTTCCTTCGCAAACATTTCATCTTTATCGAATACGCGGAAGCGAAGACTAACGATCGAATCGACAAGGGGATTGCCGCCGATAAGTTTTCCTGCCGCCGTAAGATGCGGGGTGAGCTAAAGTGAGGGTATTACCATCAGGACTATCCATATTCGAAAGAAGGGAAACAAAAATATCCGAAGTTCAGGAGCTTCAATGATCAGTCATGTGACATGTAGTAAGCTGATGCCAGTCAGGCCCTGTCTCCTATCTCTGAGTGAAATATTCGAGGATCTTCACAAGATGTTCTCAGTAGCATAATAATAAGAGGATTCCTCTCTGCGGATTGGCGAGGAATTGGGGCACCTCGCGACGACTCGGTAGATTCATCCACAGAACTCGAAGAGATCCCTTAGGAGACACGCAGGATTCCTCCCGCCTACGGTGGGAGGGAACGTGGAGGATGTAGCGAGTAGCGAGTCTGCGTTCCGCTCGTGAAGTAGAGTGCATTCTACTCGGAGAGATGTCGATCGGGAATTCGAGGCACGATTATTGCACTGCTCCACTGACCCGTTCAGCTCGGAAAGGACAAAATTTCCAATTCGTTGGCTTGTTGGTCTCCACACTGTGGTCAGACCGGTGCGGAAGAGTTCATAATTATTCTCATTATCATACATGACGACCGGCTGCGACTGGTCATAATTATTGTGGTTCATCCTTTGAGAGTCATGAATTTCAAGTAGCCCGAGCGGCGATGGGAGCGGAATTAGGAATCAGATTCGCCCTCGGGATGCATGCAAATGTATTCACGACGCTTCAAAGCCATGGATTCCAGTTGCGAACAAATATACGACCCTCTCGAATTTGTTCGCTTTCGGCATAGACTCGGCAGAGCTGACAGTTTTGATTGGAGCATTATTGGAACGCGAATTCGGCTTCCGGAGGCCGTTCGTGACCTCGGTAAGTTCATACCACCAAGAGTTCATTGTCCATGCTGATCCGCTCAGCTATTTGAGAATTCAACGGTCGAGGATTCGAGATCCGCAAAGCTGGACCTTTGCTCCCAGCACAACAGCAGCTCCTGATGGGATGGCCTCAAGAATCGGTACCTGAGGAAAATACCGCCGAGACTCTCTAGCAAGCGAAGCTTTCTTCATCGAATTCCGTGGAGCTCCACATCGACCACCTTGCGGCGCCAGGGCATGGAACCTGGAGTCCGAGGCTGTGATCCCAACCTATCAGATTTATATACATCGCTTCGTGCTCCGTATTCTACCCAAAAGGAATCCTCGAAACCGCCTCCGATTTCCGTAGGCGGTGACCTGTCGCCGGATTCCGACCGGCAAACTCGCGCACGCCACGATTATTTCTACAGATGACATTGACAGAAATCCGCGAGTGATTGCCGAGTATGGTATCAACCGCGGTCACGGCCTAACACCGTCTGATCGCTCGGTTGCAGCGGATCGCCGCGTCGAGATAAACGCGGGAGTTCCGATGTGCAGAATCGGATTTCGATCCGCGCAGCCGCACAACAATGATCAAAAATTCTTTCGAAGCTCGGAACAGAACGGTTACATATTCTATTCTCGAGCTGGAGCAGCCGAATGTGAGAAGGGTCCGATTTTCGCTCGCCTCCTTCGGAACAGCGTCGCTACTCGCTATTCTACTCATCGGTATCCTTCGCTTGCAGCGGGGTACGGCTCCCAAAACTTTATACCCGATTATGATGCCCGCTCCGCTTTTACATGTCTGACGTCGGCGTCGAGGAATTCTGATGGGCTGCTTCATTTTCGTCCTTGGAGCCTACCCCCGGAGGGAGGCCTATAAGCGAAGCTGCAGCCTCACGCACTTCGTAAACGGAAGCAGGATCGGGGCTCACATTCTTCCGCCAGAATTCCCCAGCTATGAATTCGAAGCTACTGAGGAGGCCGAGACCGAAGACTATCGAATTCTCCAACCCTGGAGATCTGCTCGAGACTCGTTGTTCCTGCCGACGCGAGAAGGACCTCAAGTTTTCATGCGGCGTTTTCGCATCATTTTCGGAAGGACTGATAATTCACGTTAGAACTCCGCCACTCGGTCCCAGGGTTCCCCCTCGTCCGCCTAATTTCGAGCACCGCACCGTTGGCTCCCGGAGCGCATTCGAAAGCTATGACTAGTGTGCCTAGTCTGTTTTGCATGGCGGAAGAAGTTCCTCGATGAACCCCACGCGTTCGAACTCGGTCAACAACCGCTAATGAAGGTCCACTAGCGGAATGCTCAAGTGATTTGTTGGAGAATTCCCTGAGCTGTGAACCCTTGTTCTGCTCGAGAGCCACACGGAACCTCAGACCGCGTCTTCTTCCTGCCAGAAGCTAGAGCACTTTCTCGGGAAGTCTCGGAAGCTGATCGGAACTACATCCGAGCCATGCACTGATAGCCCCATGGTGCCGCGATGTTACGCGAGACGCTTATCAGCATATTTAAAATGAGCATGCACATCATGATGGGGTTCAAAAGAGTACCAGAGCATTTCTCTAAAATTTCCCCGACTTACGGTCAAGCCGCCACCCATCGACCCCGGGATCAGGAAAAAACTACCTATGCTCTCAGGTGAGCCAGCGATGGGGAAAGCGTTCTTAATGTTTGCCTGGGGAGAGCATGCAAGCAAAATCACCGACGGGACGAAGGCTAAGCGGGAACCTCGAGCTGTAAACAGAACGTTGGTCAATCAGTCCCGACGGCAAGCTGTGCCACGGTCGATTGCATCGGTGCTCGCCGTAGCGGTTACCCGGCCGTTCACCAGTTGCTGTGCAACATCTACCCGAGACCGCAGACATCGGATGCTACGGTCTCAGACATGGCGGGATTCGCCCGTTTTATTGC